CTGCTGAGCTATCTCTCCAGCCCGAATATTTTTCATAAAGCATCACAAGCACTATACATCAAGGGACTGGAGAAATGGCTCAGTGGTGAACAGCACTTGCTGCTCTTGCAGAGGACCTGGGTTTGGTTCCCACCACCCACATGGTGTCTCACAACTATCCATAACTCTAGTTGCAGGGAATTTGATGTTCTCTTCTGGCTTCTGTGGGTACCAGGCACACATGTGCCACACATACATATATGCATGCAGGCAAAAACTCACACACAAATTCTTTTAAAAAGAATTTTAAAGACCCTTTAGTTGTAGAATAGTTAATATTCTAAAGGAGAAGCTTTTAAGGGAAACTGTTGAACATTATGATATTGCAAGTTTAATGAATTCACACAGAAAGAGAACCTAAAAGGGGGATATTACAGAAAGGGACTGTAGGGTGAACCTGGAAAAAGTCAGTATGCACTGGAAGTCTGAAGGACAAGCTGGAGCCCAATGAAATGAACTAAAGGCTGCATCATACTTCCAAACTTCCAACTTTGATGCTGGTGTTATTTGCATGAGAAGTTTATGTACTTCTTCAAAGAGCAAAGCATAGACATTTCCTAGAATTTGAAAGAATTAAAAGATCCAGAAGGATGTGGAAGAGCTTCAAACTTGATCACTGTCCTGTGCCTTCCAGGTAAGCTAATACAATAGTGAGGCTGTGCTCCCCAGTAAGGCTTCACTCATTCTTTTATTGAAGTGTCTCCACCATGATATGAGGAAGTACAAATCAGGACCCAACCTTATCAGAGAAATTTTCCCTTTGATCCCCAGGCCTAGAATATCATACATAACAAACAGATTTCTTTCAGTGTTCGCAATGAGAAAAGCATGCTTCTTTCAGCACTGTGATGTGTAAAGCATCCATACTCACATTTATACTCTATTTTATACTATCTTGAGTGGAGGGAAATGAGGGGTTCTGAGTGGTTAAGGTCAGGTTCCCAGTTCACAAGAGGAGCACATGGTTCAGTGAACTTATGTACATTATAAATAATAACTTTTTGGTTTCAAGGTAGGTAAAAGTCTTTAGTCTTTAGTCTGGGCTGGAGAGATGGCTCAGTGGTTAAGAGCACTGGCTGTTCTTGTAGAAGACCCGTTGAATCCCAGCATCCACATGGCAGCTAACAACTGTAATTCCAGTTCCAAGGGATTCAACGCCCTTTTCTGTCCTCTGTGGGCATTGCCTGACACGGGTCGACTTACATACATGCAGGCAATACAAGCATACATATAAAAAAATAAATAATTATAAAAAAGTCTTTAGTCAGTGCTGTAAAATCCATTCCTACAAGAATCAGCTTAGAAGTTATCTACTGTTACAGAAACAAAGAGGTTAAGAGTGAAATAAATGTTAGGGTTAGAATAAGGAGGTCTGGAACCGTAAGGATGAGAAATCAAAGGGTTTGAAGCTGAACATGAGGTCATGAACTAACTAGGTAAGGGGAAAGACAAGGCTGACCCAGTGCCAGTAGACTGGCTGGCTTCCCCTGAGTTCCCCCTCCTGAGGGACATATGCAAGATACTGTTGTGTTTTCACAAGGTCTTGTTTCTAAATGCAGCTAATTGTAACAGACTACCTCATAAGTAATAATGACTTCCATTTATTCCAGAAAGGAGACCACCTCAGACCACCCTGTAGACAAGGAGTTAAAAAATGGTGAAACCAGGACTGGAGAGGGGGCTCAGGGGTTGAGAGCATTTGCTGCTCTTGCAGAAGACCCAGGTTTGGTTCCCAGTAGTCATATGGTGACTAACAATTGTACTCCAGTTCCAGGGGATCTGACACCCTCTTCTGGCCTCCGTGGGCATTATATATATATATATATATATATGCAGGCAAAACATTCACACACACCCCACAGGATAACTATAAAAGATCGCAGCTATATCTTGGTTATAGATAGAGTGATAGAGTCAGCTCTCCACCGTGGAAAACTACAAGCTGGCTACATAAGCAAAGAAAGTGATCTTAGTCTAATCAATGGCTAGCAGACCCTGCCAAAGTCTAAGACCAGCAATGTCTGCAAGAGTAGTGCAACTAGCAATGCTGGTCTGGTCTAATGGGCAACAGGCCACCAAAACAAGTCAGAGATGAACAGGGTGCTTCTTCATAGGGCATGAACAGCATAGGATCATCTCTCTGGTTGACCCAGGGGACATGCATAGAGTGTGTGCACCCTTCATTGGCTCAGAAAATTAATGAATCTCAATAAAATTTCCCTCAGTATTTGTCCAGTTTCTGCCACAAGTCCTATAAAAGTCCATAGACAAACAGTTCAATGGGTGTTTTCCTCTTCTGGGGCCTCTCCAGAACTTTGTTTTTTGGAGCTCTGCTTTCTACATTCGATATTTAATCTTCTTTAATCTTTCTCTCTATAATAAAAACTCCTATTTAAAAACTCATCTTTTCTTGTCCATGAATTTCCTGAACTGAGAATCTTCACTTTCGAGGACACTCCCTTTCCTCCCATTTCACTATCACATAAGAATGAGCCCATGATAAATGATCTCAACGCTTCATATATTAATCAGTAAATTTAATGAAATTCCAATGAAAACACTAATGTGATTGTCTGAAGCTTGACAATTGAGTGTTTTAAATCTAGGTTGACCAGACCAGAAGCAGATTATAGAATGGGAACTCCAATGCACACATTACTGAAGGAATACACTCAAAAGAAGCTGGCAAGCAAATGAGAGAATGGGAAAGGAAGGACCAACACAATTGTGATGGAAATTCTGGCCTAATCCCCAAGGCTGGTCTTAAACTTACTATGTAGCTAAGGATGACTTTGAATTCCCGCTTCCACCTTCCAAGTGTTCCTGAGTGCTGGGATTACAGGGGTGCACCACAATGTCTTGATTCCTTTAATTATTTTTTAATGAAACTTAACTTCAGAACTCAAATAGCAATTTTTAAATCAAACATTTTAATACAATACAACCCAAGTACATACTAATTAGATACATGATAAGAAATAATGATAGGGAAATATTAAAAGCTTTTATTTTCCATAATTAGGCCATTTTGTTTCTGTAACAGCAGAAAACTTTGTATGCACAGTAAAAACACTGCAATTTATAACATACAACAGTCTTGAATCTGAGTTGAGGTATTTCAAGTGTTGCTGCATATATACATATATTTCAGATGAAATGAAACTTAAGCCTGATTTCATATAGCACACTGGAGCGTAATTTGAAACTCAGAGTCTGACCTTCCTTGAGATAAGTGAATCAGGCATTGTATACTGGCCCTAGTTGATTGTTGGTCATAGTTTGCTACATGGGGAGGGTTGCAGGTTCAATAATCTTCTGGTGCATCATATCTTCCAGTTTGTAGATCCTTTATCTATTCCCTCTAGAAAATCAAATCCCAGGTTTCCAGCGGTGGGATTAAGATACTTCTCAAATTGTTGAATTAAATGGTTTCTCTTTTTTCTTAACTTAGCACCCACCTTTATCTCTACCTCCTCCCCAGGCATTAATGACCCAAAGCCAGCGACTCCCACCCTACTTAAAAAAGGATTTTATAGTGGAAATCCAGCTGCTTTTCAACTTTATCAATAGGTAGCTTAGAATCCATCTTTCTTATAGGATGTTTGAACTTGTAGAAATGAAAAAGAAGTGTTTGTTGTTGTTGCATGGCATTAGGGCATGGCATGAATAGTGCGAACTGCTCATGTTATATGTTCAGAACCAAAGCTGCAGTGAAGACTTGGGATGCAACATGGGCCTGTGCTGCCAGAAACACCTCAGATCCATTATTAGGCTTTGGTTTTGAATTAAATTTAGTCAGTGCATATTTGGAACACTGTTACTGTTGCCAAAATTTTCACAACCTACACTTTCAGAACCATCATCCCTGGAATGTAATATTGGTCCAAGGCCAGTTCTTATACCAAGCCAGAGAAAGCTACATGGCAAGACTCTGTCTCAAAACAAAACTTTAAAAATTGGACATTGGTCAACTAGGGAGTATGTTTTTAATAAGTACAGCTTATTTTTGAACCCTTTATTTCTTAGAAGACAAATTGCTTTTCATATAATGGTAATTTTTACTTCTCCCTTTTATTGAATTTGTTATTGATGTTTTCATACATGCAGAAAGTGCATCTTGATTACTATAACCATCCTGTTAATCTCCCTTCCACTCCTATAAGTCCCTCTCAAACACTGATATCATTTTTATTTTTATATTTTGAGACTGAGTTTAACCTGGATCATCTGTATTAGCATGGATTTAGAACTATTCATTGGAATCTGGTGGGGCCCTCAGTGGGTGCACAACTGAAGACAGTGAATATTGTTTTGCTTGACTAGGAGTTTTATATTTTGCCCATTTAAAACCAAGTTTTTTTTCTGAGACAGTCTCCCTGTGGCCCCAGCTGACCTGGAACTTGCTATGTAGACCAGGCTGGCATCAATCTCATAGAGAGCCACTTGCCTCTGCTTCCTGAGCGCTAGGACTAAAGGCATGTGCCACCACGCCCAGCCTAAAAGCAAAATTTTAGAATAAAGTTATTTGTAATATAAAAGACAAAATTAAATATTTATTTATGCCATTTGATATTTTGCAGTTGGACAAATCTAGTCTATCATCAACAGATTTTGTATGGTATAAAATGTGAGTGTATTTTAAACAAATACTCTATCTCTGAGCTACAGCTTTAGCTGCTTCAACTTTGGATCATGACCCTGTATCTACAGACTGAATTGATCAAAATCTCACTCTTGGTTAGTAATATAGACAAATTCATAACCCACAATGTTTTGGTCATTTTAACTCTACATTGCACTATAACTTAATAAATTTATTTATTTTTATTTTATGTGCATGAGTGTTTTGTCTGCATGCATGCAACACATTCATGCAACACCTGCAGAGGCCAGAAGGCGGCAATGGGTCCCTTGGAACTGGAGCTATGGATGGTTATTAGCTACCATGTAGGTGCTGGGAACCAAACCTGGGTCTTCTGCAAGAGCACCCAGTGCTTTTAATTGCTGAGCCATCTCTCTAGACCCATGCATTATAACTTTCCACCCACTGAATAGCAACTCCTCATATCTCATCTTTCTCTAGGCTCTTCTCACAGACTGAGGCTCCACTTCTGATTTTATTTCCTCTCCATAAATCATATTGTACTTTCTTATTCTGAGTTCAATTTAATGAGGTATTCTAACACACAAACTGGATTTTGTAGTGTCCACTCTGCCATTGAATGGCTGTTTTAAAACATACATTTTTATTAATTGAGAATTTTATATACATGCAATGTATTTTTATCGTATTCACTCCCTTCTAATGCCCCTACTTCAAGATTTACTCCATCCCTTCAAACTTCATGTCCTCTTATCTGTTTTTAAAGTATCATTCATTACTCACATATTTATTTCTAGTATAAAAATTCTCAAAGGCATTCATTTATATGCATCAAAGTTTTATTAGCTCATGACTGAAGAAACTAGCAGGAATATGAAACAGTTGGTTCCAAGAGTATTTGAGAAATAGAGCTGTATCATTAATGGGAAGAGACTGTCAAAATTGGATTATAATTTAATAATCTAACCTAAGATATGAGTGATTTGAATTTTATAGGAAATAAAACCATATCATTTGGATAACTTAACTCTCTTAAGTTAATAAAACAAGACAATTGACTAATATCTGTAAGTTAACCTGCAGCCTTATAGAACTTTACCATCTTCACTTTTATTAACTTATGGAGCGTGACAGATTTGGCAGCTGCGTTATAATCTCCAAAAGAGTCACAGAAGGGTCAAGTAGAGATTACTAGAAAATGTGCTAGCACAAAAATAACAACCACAGCAATTCTTTTGCCTTTTCTGAGACTAGGACAAATTTTTTTCTTATTAGAAATTCCCATTTTCACATCATCCTGGGCTGAAACCTTCTGATATATCCTCTGACTGCTTGGGAGCTCATCTTTGATGCCATGATGTGTTCCTGTAATTGTAATAGACGGCAGAGGTGGAAGGACCAGTGAGGCATTCCTAAGCTTCTGGGGAGAATGTGGCAAAGCACAGCTGGACTGCTGACTGCTTTCAACAGCTGAGTTTTCATGTGATTCCTTGATATTTCAACTATATGCCTATAGTACAAAATTTTCTGTTGTATTTTTGGGGTGTTTCTTTAGTAGTGAATTAGGCGTGGGTATGAATACGACAAAGTCATTATTAGAACTTCAATGTTTAGATTTTCCTAATTTTTCTGTCGAAATGTTTTTTAAATGTCTTTTAGAAGACTATTGCCATTGTCACTTTTTTTGGCCATCACATATTTCAAGAGGACATATTTAAAGGTTCCCAATAATTAAACACTCCTGTCCTAACCTATTTCTGTTCCATGCTTGATCAGGATAATAAACAAGTGAGAGCCTTATTTTAAATGTATGACGCTCAATCTGCAATGCTTCTGTCATAAATATTTTCTGCCACTTTTTATTATATTGTCTTTCCATAAGAGAGGAAGTACTGACTCTGTGAGAGACTTAAGTTTTTAGAACAAGCAGGATTAATAATTTGGGAAGTGTCAGAGCAGTGTCTTATACAATTCTATAGACTTAAATAAAATGATGGTGGCATGAACTGTGTGGGGTGGTATAGAATTGAAAGGGATGCTGGTCTTGAGTTGGCTAGGAAATATCCTGGAGCTGAGGAAGGAGGCCAGGGTCATGGGCAGGGGCTACAGAGGCCACCTCAGTACAGCTGCTGGGCTTCACAGCCCAGAATCTCCAGCCTCAAGGCAATCTGGTGCTCCCAGATCCGGGGGTGAATTCGAAGATAGCGAGTGAGTAACGGTGGGTCTAGAGAGTTAACCATAGGTGTGAAGGAGTCCCGATTCCCCTGAAAAACCTGAAGGAGGATAAACAACATTTATTAATTATCTGACAAGATGAACATAGAGTTTATACCACCACACCCTTGCCAGGAGCCTCCTGCTCTGTCAGTCACTCAGGCATGGCCTTCTCCCCTCTTTGCATCCATTGTACTGTGTATCAAACACACAAGCGACTTACTCTGAACTACTTAAAGAATTTTTGAGATTAAACTTTGGGAAATTAGAAGACTCCATGGGCCAAAAGAGTGAGTGTGACTTCTAGACTTGAGATTAACCTGCTTATGTGAAGTGTAGGCTTTTGCTCTAGCTGTGTCTTGCATCTGAAATAGTCTCACCCATATTCCAAAATCTTAGTGAAGAAACCGAATTCTTTGCCTGAAGTAATAAAACAGTATTTGTGTGTCAGGTAATCTGGAGGTGGGAGTTAGGACTCAGCTATGTGACACCACAGTCGTTGCATTTGTTATTGCAAGATGAGTATACAGTAAGCACTCAATAAATTACAGCTACTGTTATTAGGCAGATATGCTGTTTTCTCACATGTTGGTAGTAATTTTATAATGATAACAAAAGCAATGCAGTAACCCTACAAGATGTACAATCTGGCAGAAAAGGGTGCAGAAGGGATAAAGAGTTGGGGGGAGAGTTCAAGACTCAAATCGTCTTGCCACCTGTGAGCCAATGGATATTTGAGGAAATGAACGAATATTAAAAATATGTAATTCTAGGCAGCTCTGAAACTCAGTGGGATGTAGTGTGTGTATTCCATGGACATCATACAGGGTCCCAGCCAAAGGCTAAGCATAAGAGTCTTGGAGAAACATGAAGAGGTGACACTATTGTAAGGCATGCTATTGCAAGCACAGATTCTATAATATCCCCAAGATCTCCTGAGGTGTGTTGTGTGGAAGAAATAGTGGGCTGTGGTTACAGGGAAGAAGTGATTAAACAGCAACAAAAGGCCGCCTGCTTCCTGGGGCTATTTGAGGTGACAGTTCCTTGCAACCATTCTCTGAGCTGTAGCTCTGCAAAGGATGGTGTCAATTTCACTTCAGATGCCAAGTGGGAAAAGACTTTTCCTGGAAAACATGGTATGAAATAACACTAGTTCTACAGAGTTCAGCTATGAAGACAAAATGTCTAGGCTCCATTCTTTACTTTAGCTTCATTTTCCTCTTAGATTCCTGTCCCTTGGCAGCTTACTGGAGTCACTTGTTTGTTTGTCTGTAAATTAATGAGTCTTTCTCAAAAGATTCTGATTTAATTGGTGGTCTTACCATGATACCCAGGAAGATCTCAAAATACACATAGAATACAATCCAAACTCATTCTTGTCTCCAAGCCCTGATAAGATATGACCTACACTGTCCTAGGCTCTGATCTCATCTCTCATCGCTTTTCCCCTACTTTACTGCATTGTAGATATACTGGTATTTTAGTTCCTGGACAGTGCCAACTCTTTTTTTAAACATGAGAATCTGTGTATATATGATTCTTTCTATTCAGAAGTGTTATCCCCTCTGTTTTCTTTTTTCATCCATTGCCTTCTATTTTTCATGTCTTGGTAAAAGTGCCGTATCTTTAGAAGGGTCTTCCTCCTCTAAAATATGGATCCTGTTTATTCTAAATCTGAAGCTCTTGTTTGCTTCTTTGTAACATTTGGAGATTGACAGAGATTTCATCACTATATGAAATATGGAGCCTAGTGCACATATGTTATGCCACAATTTCCTTTGCAATAAAACATTCCATCTTGGAGAGAAACTGGTTAAGATACAGGATGTTACATTCCATCCTGCAGGAAAGGGCCTTAAAATCCAGAAAGTAAACAACTCAATAGCTCAAGGAAGTCCCTGAAACTGACAAGATCCACTACAATCCTCCTTCCCTAAGCATATATAAACAGTAAGAACTGCTGAGAGACATTCTCAGAGCAGCAGACCTACCTGGAAAAGACAGGCCCAAGCTGCCTGGAAGAGGCTCTGACCAACTGAGCTACTGGACAAGACACTCTTCAGCATGTCCAGAAGCCTGCAAGTTACGTGGTGTGCTCTAGGATTCCAGCTTTTGTGAGCTGTCACCTATGCTGAGGTGGTATTTTGGTAATACAGCTGTCTTTGAATCATTTCTGTTCTTTTAAATAACCCCTCATCCAATAAAACTCCCAATAAGGCCCCCGATAAAAGTTACCTCAACAAAGACCCCCAAGGTTCACCAAGTTGGATTTGTGTGGTATTCTTACTTTGATCTATCATCATTGCTTCCCTGTCTTGGATGAGTAGATGTTTGTTCATGTCTCCCCAGTAACAGTGTCACATAGCTTGGCAAGTATACCAGAAGCATTTGTTGAAATAAATTCTGTGTGCTTGATAAAAACTTGGAAATCATTAAGGCCTCAGATTTAGGATTTTTTGACAAAATTTTTTATGTATATGGAGGCTTGACTACCTTTCTTTAGACATAATCCTCATTTCCCCTTAATCTTTTAGTTCTTTACTTTTAAAGATGTATTTTTAATTTTATGGATTTGCTTGCATGGATGTATGTGTATTACCTGGTACCTGAAGCAGTCAGAAAAGGGCACTGGAATTCCAGAAGCTGGAGTTACAGGTGGTTTTGAGCCTCCATGTGGTGCTGTGAACTATACCTGGTCCTCTACAAGACAAGCAAGTTCTCTTAACCACTGAGTCATCTCTCCAGTCCCCTTAAGCTTTTATTTAGAAAAATTTACCATCTTAGAGGAATTAAAAGAATGGTATAATGAACATTCTTAAGTTCTTCATCTGGAGTTACCAATTGTTAGAATATATCATATTTACATTATCTCCTGCATGCCTTTTTAAAAAAAGGTTTATTTTATTTAATTATGTTATGTGTGTGAGTGTGAGTGTATGTCAATATGAGTTCTGGTACCTATGGAGACCAGAGGCATTAGATCTCCTGGAGTTAGAGCTGTAGGCAGATGTGAGTCACCTAATGTGGGTGACTGAACTGGGGTCCTCTGAAATAACAGCAAGTGCCCTTACGCACCAAGTCATTTCTCTATTCCCCTTCTTCCCTGTCTTTTTCTCTCTGTCTCTGCCAAACACACACACACACACACACATTTTTCTGAACAATTTGGAAGGAAATTATAAACATGGCATTTTGTTCCTAAATATTTCAACCTGCCAAACCTGAGAAAAAGGTCATTTTCTACATACCACTGAATACCATTATTATGACCAAAAAATTTAATATTAGCACAATATTATCTGATACTGAAAAATTTTCAGCTATCATAATGCTATTGTACATAGTTTTGTAAAAAATATAGAATCCCATAAGAAGATCACCCATTGCATTTACTTGTTGTATCACTTTAAATTTCCTTAAACCCAAAATAGGGAGCTGGAAAGATGGTTCAGTGAATAAAACATTTGCTACACAAGTGTGAGGGCTGAAGTTCAGACCTCCAGCTCATGTAAATATGGAATGAGCGTGGTGGCCCATCTACAATCCCAGTAGTCAGGAGACAAAGACAGGGTATTTCCAGAGCAAACTGGCTAGACTAGACAGAACTGCTGAGCTCCAGTGGAGAGTAACTAAAGGGGACAACTGATCTCAACTTTGGGCCTCCACACATATGCACACTTATGTGCACATGCACACACATACACATGTGCCCCCACATGTGACTGTGCACACATACACATGTGAAAAATTAAAATTAAAAAATAAATCTAAAATAGACTTCTAGTCTCTGGGTTTTTTGTTTTTGTTTTGTTTTGTTTGTTCTTCATGACAATGACATCTTTCAAGCCTCAGGGTGCTTTTAATTGGCCTGCATTCTAAATTTGAATGACTCCTCTTTTAAATTTTGGTTAAACATGTTTAGGAAGAATGCTAAGTCAAATGTGTGTCCTCACTGCATCCCATCAGATGACACTTGTTCCTAGTCTGTCCCATTACTGATGATTGTAAATTTGATCATCACTTGATTAAGATGGAGTCCACTCAAACTTTCTATTATAAAGGCAATTAAAAGTCTACATTTTATCTGTTAAGTAAACTTTCAAACCATGTGAATGTTATGTTTCTCAACTTTAATTCGGTGGTTATACCATCTATTAAATTTCTTTTTCAAAAAATGTTTTACTATTTTTATTTTATGTTTATGAGTATATTGCCTGCATGTATGTAAGTGCATGTATGTTGTGCAATGCCCATGGAGGTCAGAAGAGGGCATTGGATCCCCTAGAACTGGAGTTACGGACTGTTGTTAGCAACCATGGGGGTTCTGGGAACCAAACCCAGGTCGTCTACAAGAGCAGCCAGTGTTCTTAACTGATGAGCCATCTCTCCAGCCAATTATATTTTTTACAAGTATTAAATAGTATATGGTGGTTGCCAACTGAATTAATTTTGTCAGTTCTTCTGCATTTATTAGCTGGAATCATTCTGTGATGAAAAGCTTATTTTCTCCTTTCATTTTTTTTTTTTACTATGACTATGGACTGCTGTGTTCTTTCTTTATGTATTATAATCCATTACCACCATTATTCTGGGTATCTCTCTATAGCCCTGCTTGGCCTGAAATGCACTATGTAGCTCAAGCTGGGCTCAAATACAGGGCAATCCTCCTAATTCAGCCTCTCTAGCTCTGGGATTACAGCCATAAACAATTTCTCTTTTTGATGTTCAAGTTGTCTCAACAGGAATCTCTTCAAGTCCACTTCTATGTTCTTTTCTCATGGACCCCTTTAGTCTTTTACTCTTACTCTAGCACATCAAGCTGTTTCAAGATTGCCAGGCCATTTCCTTGTCTTGGAATCAGTGATTCCTCAAATGAACCCGGATTCCCTTTACTGGGAAATGTTGGAGACTAAGATCAGGTATCAATATTTCTAGGCTGTCTTAGTGGATAGTGCTATGATAAATTTTGTTTTTAATTTTTGAATTCTTATTTATACTTGTAGCTCAAGCCTAGAATTTTCTATATTCATTTGCATGAATTCTTTTTATTTATTATTTC